CCCAATGCCTCATGCTGAAAAACCAGCATTTCAAAACCTCCTTTTCTATACTAACTGTGAATTTTCATAGAATTCCACACACTCATTAACAGCCCTTGAGTGCAAGCTGGAAACTCAGTGGATCGGGTCAAAGCGTTTGGAGCAGAGAAGACTCTTTTTTGCTCTCACTCGCTGGTTTTCAGTGTGGGTGCCCTCAAGGTTAGCAGATTAGCATACAACATCAGATGTGGGTATTCAGAGGCATCCAGGCGGCTGCTCAGGTCCCAGCTCATGCATACACTGCACAAGTGCTATTAGCATGCATGCCAGTTACCTGCCTGACAAAATGGGTCATGTCATGTCATGTTGTGTCATGCTGTGGTATGAAGTTATCACATCATGATACATTGTGTAGCTGTCAGGGAGAATCACAGTCTGCATGGTGTTACTCTGTCAAAAAGAATAATTTTATAGACTTTTTCCAGAGCAGTTATGAATAATGCTAAAGCTGAAATGGAAAGGAAGACAAACTCTTTTCTATCACTTTTGGTTTCCACCACACAGTAACCTCACCATGAATCAATTCCACTTCAAAGTGGACTGAAGTCATTTTTGTGAAGGCTACTGTATTCACTCTCGAATCACGCTGCTGTATTTTGTTCTGAAAATTAATGTCATTGCCAGGGAACCACTCCTGTCTTTACAGGATTTGGTCATATTGTGTTTGAAGGGATTTACAAAAGGTTGGCAAACTGACATGACCATGCATTAATGACTTTTACCATTACATTTTATTCCATAATAATGTCACCTTCAGTGTTGGGCTGTAATATGTCACTAAGAAACACATGATGAGGATTTTTTTCAGTTACGAGCAGGGGTGGAAGTTGATTGAAGTTCTTGCCAGCACTACTAAACATTCATTGCTTCATGTTGTTCTGCTCTTGCCCCCAACTTCACACACCCCTGAACACACGCATTTACTTTTTGGGAACGCCTGGTTGAGTTGGAAGTAAAAAGAAATCTTTAGAAAAAACACTTGACATCATGTATAGCTGATTTAGGCCTGTTTTAATGGTGTAAGTGCCACACAATCATTTGTAAATGTTGACAAAACTTGCTAGCAAGCAATGAATGTAATGTAGGTATCAAACACAGAAAGTAAAGATGCACACATGTAACATTACTGTGCCATTACAGCCACTAAAGTAGCATAGCTTGTTTTACTAGCTAACCGAGTAGTTAGAA